AATAACTCGCTTAGATAAACTAGCGAAATACCATTTAGTGCTGTGAGCACAAAAAGATTAATCTTATATTTGATTCTCTGTGAAGTTCGACGTTTGACCTTAGTGTAACAAGACCCTTCCGTATTTATTCTCCAGAATAGGCGTTTTCGAATTAGTCAAATACCGCTGTGTTCATTGATCACAGATATACTTAAGCCCCGTTAACACTGGCGGTTTTTGCGGCGATTTTTGCTGCGATTTTTGTGGCAATTTTCGGAAATATGAAATCTTTTGTCTCATCCTTCAAAAGAGACATTCGTCTAGGAAAATCTTGGTATCCTGAAAAAAACTTTACAAGTAAATTCTTTACCATTATTTATTATGGACAAAATAGCAAAAAAATCGCCCTATCCCAGACCTTAAATTTTGATTTCACATACCCTACCCCAGACTACAACTAAGAATTGTACACCCTATCCCAGACTAAACCCCAACATTTATATATTAAGTTTTAAGATCGGATATGGCCATCATTGAAACCATTTCAAACAAACAGGAGCGGTCAACTACATCTCGGTCATATTACCTTTTGTTGACATGCAAAAGACGGTTATTCAATAGATTGCAATCAATATTTACTAACGTTTTTATTGTTTTTGTGCCGGCAGAAAGCGTAGCCTATTCGGCAAACATAAACGACCAAATCGTAACCCTATCCCAGACAAAATGTCAAAAAATGATATCCTACCCCAGACCCAAAAGCCGAAAGGGCGGCACATACTCATATATCAAATATAGGGGAGTACCCCCCCCCCCGGGGGTAGAGTAAAGATATTCTCCTAGGCAGCCGCTATTAGTGTCGTCACACCACGCTTACTCGAAACTAATAGCGGCTGCGTAGAAGACTAGAGTAAAGAATACACAACTTCAACAATACAACGGACCTTCATTAGAATGTATGAATATTTCGGGGGTTGGCACCCTGCATGTTAATCACCTACAGTTGCAGTAAATCTTCCCCATTTTCTATATTCAGTGTGCATGCTGTGACGTAGCCAGGATTAACAAAAAGACAAAAATGAAAACTAGCCTTACTTTTTATTTTTACAAAAATAAAATAAAATATAAAAGCCGGCATTACGTTTTATGTTTTAAAAAAAAAAACCTTATGTTTTATTTTTACAATCAAAATTGAAATTAACGTATAAAATATAAAAATCCACCATTTTGTTGCCATGAAAAGGGGGTTGCCTGTAGCCCTTGCCTTCCAMCCCCCTCCCCCCTGGCTACGTCCTTGGCATGTCAACTTCTTCCTCTGTTTCTTTTTTTTTCTTTTTCTAAAAATAATATTACCATTTATTATAGGATTTAGTATCTTTTCGCCGCGAACAATGAGTTACGTCCACAAGCTTCATAACCAAGCCTTGGAACACAGAACTCCAYCCCAGCTTCTTCGCCATCATGCTCAAGTATCCCCTGACMAGGAAGCGTTCGTGTTTCGTAACGCTAACAAAAACAGAGTGGCCATAACCTTCAAAGAGTACGAAAGAAGATCTGAAGCACTGGCTGCAGCTTTGCTGGAAATAGGTCTTGTTCGAGGCGATAGAGTTCTTCTAATGCTGCCAACCACTGAAGAGTTTGTGTTTACTCAAATGGCTTTGAATATGATTGGTGCACTGGCGGTTGTTGTCGAACAAGATGGCTACCCCGCCATTTTTGAAACCAAGAATCTAGCATGTGTTATAGCAAGTATAGATTACAGTGTTTCCATGAACATGGAGAAAACGGTGCACGAACTGCATGCTATTTTCCAGCAAGGAACGCTCAAGGCTGGAGTCATTGCTGGTCACTCTGCAGCTTATCATGACTTGCTCGCATACCCGAAGGTGTACGCTTTCAAGAAGCTCGTTGACATGACACAGATRAATGAAGAATGTCGTTCAAGGGTGCAAAGAGCAGAAGCACAAGTCCAGTTTGACGATCCCACTTTTGTACTCTTCACTTCCGGTAGCACAGGGATCCCAAAACCAATCCAGTTTACTAACCAAGCCTTCGTTAATGGAGCACGAGCGAATGCATATAATATGGCCCTAAACAAAGACAACATCCTGTTCTGTGATGGTCCATTTGACTGGATATCAGGGATGGGCTTCGGTATTGGCGTAGTCCTTTTGCTCGGATCCACCTTGGTTTCCTTTCCACCTCGTCTCTCATTCAAAGGAGGCATGACGACTACTATTATGAAGATTATGGAAGAAGAAAAATGCTCTCATGCCATCCTGTTGTTGTACTTTCTACAGGACATGGTATCAAGCCAGGAGGTCTGTTCCATAGATCTTAGTAAGCTCAAGTACTGCTTGACCGGAGGCCAACCCACCTCTGTCTCATTGATCAAGAAAATCTTCTCTTTCTATCCCCATTTGATTATACGTAATGCATATGGATCTACTGAGACCAGTCTAGTAGCTTCACAAGAGATCACCAAAGATTCTCTAGATTCTAAGRATCATTGCCTGATGGAAATCTGTCCTGGATTCGAAGCAAAGATCATSGATGAAGAGGGTCTTGTTGTACCATTTAATACACCAGGTTTGTATTGATATGTTGTAGAAATACGTTTACTATTCTTCYTCTTTTGATAAGCCAGTAAAATGTGAATTTGCTCCTTCATCAGATGTGTATTGATGTTAACGTACCGGGGCTATTGTTATTGTTATTGTTGTTGTTGTTGTTGT